TTTTTTGTATGTATCTGTCTAATTTTTTCACCACCACTTATTGAGGAGACTGTCTTGACTCTATTGTATGCTCTTGCCTTCTTTGTAAAATATTAATTGAGCATAATGGCTTGGGGAGATTTCTGGGTTCTCTGTTCTGTTCCATTGATCTACTATACATGCCTATTCTTGTGCCAGTACCAGGCAGTTTTGAGAACAGTGGCTTTGTAATATAGCTTGATATGTGGTATTGTGATCTCTCCAACTTTGTTCTTTTTTTCTCTGGACTGCTGTGGCTATTTGGGATCTTTTATTATTCCACATGCATTTTTGGAGAATTTGTCCTAGGTCTGTGAAATATGCCATTGGTATTTTAATGGGGATTGTATTGAATGTATAGATTTCTTTGGGTAGTATGAACATTTTAATGATGTTGATTCTACCAATCCATGAATACGGTATATTCTTCCATGTTTGTCTTCCTCTATCTCTTTTTTTCAATGTCCTGTAGTTTTCCCAGTACAGGTTTTTACTTCCTTAGTTAAGTTTATCCCCAGTATCTTAATTTTTTTGTTGCAATAGTAAATGGGATTTTTTTGTTTGTTTGTTTCTCTTTCTGTGAGTTCATTATTAGTGTATAAAAAAGCCATAGATTTTGGGTGTTAACTTTGTATCCTGCTACATTGCCAAATTCATTTATTAAGTCTAGCAGCTTTTTTATGGAGTCTTTAGGGTTTTCTATGTATAATATCATGTCATCTGCAAATAAGATGGCACATATTTAATTATCAAATTTGGTTATATCCAGCTGGGGAAGTTCAGGAGTTATTTGGGCTAATACTGAACTGCAAGAGCTAACTTATCAATTTGAAACTATAACTGGATTTCCCTTGATTGCTTTTATTTCCCTCATTATTTAAGTATTGGACTGAGAGAGTTGAAGTAACTTTGGAGGCTTTCAAAAGAATATGCTAACTACTATGTTTACATAATTTCACTCTTAGTAAGGAACAGAAAAAAAGTTGAGCACTCAGTACTTCCATCGTCATGAAAAAGTTGCTTCTGGGAGTCAGGTCTGGATTATACAAAACAGTGAAGTAGGGTCAGTATGTTTTGCCTTCTTTCTTCCTCTGTTCTTCATCTCCTGGCTCACTTCTTCCACATCACTTCCTGATTTCAAATAATATCCTTATTGAATTAAAAAAATTTTTTTAAGGCCTGTTTTCAATATTTGGTATAGAATCCACTGTAGGTCATTGCTCTTCATGTAACTTATGTGTTTCCATGATACTTGATGGGAGCTTTAGCCTTCTCTGACCCCACCCTGAAATCTCACCTGTTATCCCAGTGACAGTCCAGGAGGTATCCTGGACTCCAACCAAGTTACCAGCTCTCCAACTCTGCAAGTACACTGGCCACAGTGTAGCAGAAGGCAGTGTTCTCAAAAGAAGAGGAGGGAGGCAGAAAGAGAGGAGGAGAGACTGAGATAAGGCAGAGCAGAAGAGAGTCCCAGTGAGGCCAGAGGAGAGGAGAGGAGAGGAGAGGAGAGGAGAAGAGAGGAGAGGAGAGGATCCAATACAAGACAGATTACATCACCTATATAGACACCCATCCCATAGTCTGATTTCATCACCATGCCCGAACACCTTTCAGTGTCACACCAGCATTATTATTACCCAAAGTCATTGGTAGCCTCCCGGTGGGGAGAAACTCTTATCTAACTCTCTTGCTGGTGCAGCATTACATTCTTTCAGTTCAATTAGCTGAGCTTTCTTCCATCAGCTTTACAGTTTTCTCCCAGTCCAGCTGTCTCTGGGCCACCCTCCAAATCTCTCTGTTCTGGACAGGGATTACTTAGATCTTCCAAGTCCACTGCACCAGCCTAAGAGCTCAGATCAGGAGGCCTCTCCTCTTGAGCTTCTGGATCAGCTGGCCTCACATATGTGGAGACTGGTGGCCTAGCAGGTAGAGGGGCGGCAGAGAGAAGTGGAAGAAATCCTTGTAACACGGTTCAACACACAATATAGGAGCCATCAGGAAAGGGGCCTTTTTATATCCTGAAGATATCTGCTGTCAGGTCTACAAAGACACATTTTTCTTTCTTTTTTTAAAAAATATATTTTTATTGATTTCAGAGAGGAAGTGAGAGGGAGAGATAGAAACATCAATGATGAGAGAAAATCATTGATCAGCTGCTTCCCGCAAGCCCCACACTGGAGATCGAGCCTGCAATCCTGGCATGTGCCCTTGACCAGAATCGAACCTGGGACTCTTCAGTCCGCAGATCGACACTCTATCCACTGAGCCAAATCAGCCAGGGCCAAACTTTTATTTCTTAATCCTAAATGTAGACCTGTGACTCAGAGTAGTTTGAATAACTGGGAAAATGGGACCTACTGCACATATTCTTAAAGAGTTTCTTCTTCTCCACACCTGGCTCGTGTGATCCTGTCTCTCTTCTGTTTCAAGCCTCTTCCCTGGCTCTTTACGGTACCTTGTCCAGCAGCACCTAGATTTGCTTCATGCTCTGCAGGAAAGGGTCCTGAAATGGCCACGCCAAGGAGTCCTTGGAGATTTATTCCTGAAATTAACCAATGATGAGGTAAGTTTTTTAAAAAATTCTTTATAAATTTGAATTATATTCATGTCTCCCTCATCTACTTCTCTTAATAGAGAATCTAAAATCAGTGAATTTCAGAATTAAAGGAACTGCTAGGATCTAACCTCCTCATTCTACAGATAATGAAATAAAGTTCAGAGAACTTAAGACTGCTGAAACCACCCAGCTAGCTAGATAGTTGCAGATCTGTGACTAGAACCCAAGTTTTCTCATTTTCAGTTTATCACTTTCCACTGTACTATAACTGCTGCCATTGAACATGCATGTGTATGTACATATATATATTTGTGTAGAAATATATGCATGTACATATAAATCCATACATATAAAATAAATATGTGAAGGTTTATATATAGGTTATGTACTTTCACTTACTTCATTCCCTAGAGATTTGAAAAATGTGATGGACAGCTATTTGTCTGGAATGTTTTTTGTTTTCACTTGGAGAGGGTCTTAAGTTTCAAATTTCTATGTGGTTCTACAAATTAAATATGATCCAGGCCAGAAGTTGCAAACTCAAATACCTACAAAGTTAGACAGTGATATAAATGAATAGAAGTAAGCTGAGTTTAATACAATATGGACTGTTGGGAAGTGAGTTTAAGTGGAGCACATATGCTTTGCTACAAGGAATAGCTACTCACCTTTACCCAATTATTATGCAGGGGGAAAAAGACTCGAGTTGCCAGATCTGAATTTTAAGAGCAGATGGAAATCCAGAATTTTGTGTGAAATTTTCTTCTTAAAAATAGTATGTGGGATAATTAAAACTGGTCTGCAGGCCAGATTTTGCCTGCAGTCAAATCAAGGATTGTGGATAATAATACAAAGTTTACAAATTGTCTAGTTGTATAGATTTGTTTGTTGGACTTTTTCCCCCATATCACTTTTACTCATTTGTATTTGGTATGCTTTCTTGGGCTGAGAATTGTTATTTCTGTGGGAAAAAAACTTTGGAAGCTGAGAATTGTTTTCCTGAAGGCATATTGCATAGGTGAACATGCAATTAGTGGGAAAAAGTTGAGAACCACTGGTTTAGCCACTATGAAGTAGGTTGGACAAAGTTCCTCATTTGGATGTAGATGATTGAAATTAAAAAGTAATTTTAGGAGACTGGATGAAAGAAAGTGAAGGGATTAGCCAAAGAACATATATGCTTAGCTATGAACACAGTGTGGTTATGGCCAGAGGCAGGTGTGGGGCGGGCTGGGTGTAAAGGAGGGGCAGAATGAGGGGCAACTCAACAATAAAAAATAAAAAAAAATTTAGAAAGTAATTTTAAAACAAAATATGCATTTTTGTCATTAAGCAATTTAAAAATACTTTTTCAACTTAAGTAATTCCTCTTCTCTGCCTTGGTTTATCATTTCATTTTCTCTCATTAAAGTATATGTGCATGTTGAGTTTTGGAATATTGAGTTTTGGTTCCCAAGTCCATAGGGATAGCTACCTTAAAACCAACAAGTTTTTTTTTTTTTTTAAATATATTTTATTGATTTTTTACAGAGGAAGGGAGAGGGAACACCCATGAGTGAGAAATGTCGATCAGCTGCATCCTGCACGCCCCCTACTGGGGAGGTGCCCGCAGCCAAGGTACATGCCCTTGACCGGAATCGAACCTGGGACCCTTCAGTCCGCAGGCCGACGCTCTATCCACTGAGCCAAGCCGGCCAGGGCCCAACAAGTTTTTTTTAAAAAAGATGAATAAAAACCAAAAACATATTAAATGAATAATTAAGCTAAATCTCTGCAAAGTGCTTTTTATTTCTTTAAAAAATAGTTATCATTCCTGTTTTCAGGTTCTTACCATGCATTTTTGTATTTGTTTTCAAGAATAATTTCTTGGATTATTATGTTGCCTACCTGAGGGACCTGCCTGAATGCATCTCTTTGGTTCATGTTGTTGTTCTGAAGGAGGTAAGTTCACTCTACCTGTGCACTGCCCTTTGGTTACATGTGTACTATATGATGCTGCTCATCCTCCCGGGAAATACAGCAAATGCACTCGGAGCTTGTCCTCCAGGTTGGGAATGGTTTGAACAGAGCCACTGACACTCCTCCCTGGGGTTAAAGAAGCCCACTCAAGGATCAATACCATCGCTTTGGTCCTTGCCCTCCCTGCCTTGCTGACCCTCTGTTCCATTCCACTGGAACTTAGGCAAAGTAAATAGGTTTTCTAAGCTACAGCCTGCATGCTGTATGAGGGTTTTTGTTTTGTTTGGAGATAGTATGAATCTGAATTTATATAATCTAAATATTAAACTTAAGTCATTCTGTAACTGTCAGTTTCTAAGATTATAAAGTGATTCTAGTCATGTAGATTTAAGAGTTGCTAATGTAGTACTAGCTGGTTTGGATCAGTGGGTAGAATGTCAGCCTGCAGACTGAAGGGTCCCGGGTTCAATTCCGCCAGGGTTGTGGGCATGATCCCCAGGAGGAGGTATGCAGGAGGCAGCCAATCAATGATTCCCTGTCATCATTGATGCTTCTATCTCCCTCTCCCTTCCTCTTTGAAATCAATAAAAATGTGCTATAAAAAAGAATTGCTAATGTAATGCTATATTAGGTGCTCAACATGCACATATACTGGTAAGTATATAACAATTCTAGTTATTTTGGGTTAATAGGAAGAAACCGTAACAGAAGCCCTAAAGTTAAGAGTTAATAAAATTTCCTAAGAGGTGAGGTCTTAATTTTCTATATCACCTCATTACTCCCAACCCAGTATAATGCCTACCACATGTTAGTACTCAGAAAATATTTGAGAAAGGGAAAGGAAGGGAAGAAGAATGGAGAAAGTCCAACATGTTTCCTGCTGCCAAGCCAGCTGGCCAGTTTCTAATCACATCCCATTACCCACTCTCATGAGACTCCAATCCACCCCCAGTGCTTATTAGCAAACCATTGTAATGATTACTTGTAGAATCTTAATGAATTCATTCAAGTTAAATATAATTTTGTTTGTTTCTTAATCCTCACCTGAGGATATTTTTCCATTGGTGTTTAGAGAGTGGAAGGAAGGGGAAGAGACAGTGAGAGGAAAACATTGATGTGAGAGAAACACATTGATTTGTTGCCTCCCCTATGCACACTGACTGGGGCTGGGGATTGAGAATGCAACCGAGATATGTGCCCTTGACCAGAATCGAACCTGGGACCCTTCAGTCCACAGGCAACACTCTATCCTCTGAGTCAAAACAGCTAGGACTTAAATATAATTTATTGAATGCCCACTTTTGTATAGTGCTGTGCTAATATCTGGAGGTGGGATGGAAGGGATAGTTTGGAAAGTTGGGTGGATTCAAAAGAAGTATATGATGCTCTCCCTGCTAGAGAAGAGTTGTCTCCTTGAGCATGTCCTTGAACAAGTGACCTATCAGTAAGATCAATGCTTTATCTCACTCTAGTCTAGAGGAAGAAAATGCACTGGGAGTAAACCTTTTCTATTTTGCTGGGACTGATAATAGGGTTTGCAGCCAGAGCTGGAGGGACATTGAAGAATGGTTCTATCTTTTTTTCATTCAGGGTGATGAAGAGATTAAATCTGACATCTATACACTGTTTTTTCATATAGTCCAGCGCATCCCTGAATATCTGATACATCTGCAGGTAGGCATGTCTGGGAAAGCTCCCAAAGTGATTTTCAGGCTAAACTCTTGATTTTGGCTTTTGAGAAACACTGGCAGGGATCAGGAAGGAATAATTAATATTTCTAAGTATTTAAATACCTTACGATTGTTATGATTTCCCCATCCCCACCTTGTGGTATGAGCTAAAATCTCAATCTCTAAATGTGCTTGGTTCATGATGCAGGCTTTTTATGTTCTATCTTCATTTACCAGCAATCTCCACCTCTGCTGATCCAGGATCTTTCAATAGCAGCTCCTGCTAGGCTCTGAGTACCTATTCAGTCCCTTCTACCTTGATTCTACAGCCATCTAAATATGTCCCCTAATCCCCACTCCCCCCATCCTACCCCCAGTGACTAAGAACTATTTATATAACCTGCCCACTTAACTTTACTTTTTTTTTTTTTGGCTTGATTCCAAGGGTTCACTATACATTGCTTCTGTCTTATGTCACAGAAGAAGTATGAAGAAACTGATGAACTGACTTCTTCACACCCTTTTCCCACAGGACTGGTCCACCTTGGAGGAAGTAGAGTTGAGAGAGAGGCTCACCAACACCCTTACGCCCCTCTTCCTACCACTCATTATCCTGGTTTATTTGCTGACTGATCTTTCTAAGTAATTCAATGAAGCATCTTAGAAATGCTTGGGATTTATCTCAGATGGAAGTAGCCCAGTATCAATATCAAAAGACCTATTATATGTGGCTTTTGATCTTAAAATCATTTCTTCACAGTAATTATTTTCTTTAATCCTTTCAACAGTCTCATGAAATAGGTATCATTATTACCACTTCTTAGATAAGGAAATGGAGAGCCAAATAACTTAAATAACTTGCCCACGTTAACACACCTAATAGATGAAAAAATTTGGAACCGAAATCCAGGTCTTGAAAGCAGTATGATAAATAAGAGCCCTGGTTCTATTGGCTGACTTGAGTTCAGATCCTGACTCTGCTACTAACTAGATGTGTAACCTAATGAAGACTAGCTGACTTTGCTATATATCCTGATTCCCTTGTTAAACAAAGATGATAATGGTACCTATCTAATGAGGCTATGGTAAAAATTAAATGAGAAAATATATGTGCAGGCTTAGAGCTTGGCAATAGGAAGTACTCAATAAATGTTAGCTTTTCCAAATTCAAATTGCATGATGTTCTACTACAGCACAGTAGGCAATGTAATAGGAGCAACCCCCAAGCCAGCCTTGATCATAAACATCACTCCTCTTCCAGAGTGCCTTGGTATTTATTTCACATTCTCACCACTGGTCTGACTCCTATGAGTCTCATAAATATTGCTTTTTCAGCAGTAATTGTTAAAAAGGGCTCCATTACCTCAAAAAATCTAATTAATAGATCTAACTTTTCAGATGGACTTATCCTATGTTCACATCCAACTCAAACAAGAGCAACAGTGACTATTATTTTCCTTTGGTGTGATGGACAAAGAAAACAACAAGTGTGACTTTTCAGCTAGATGGGCCATATGTATTGCTGTTTTTAGTAAATGGCTACCAAACTCTCACAGCACATCAAGGCAAGGTACAGAAGGAACAAAACAACTTTTCATTCTAATTATGCAATGCTGCTTCCTTTTTTCCTTCATCCAGAACGTCCTGAAGTTCACAGAGCAGGAACACCCTGACTATTACCTACTTCTGGTGTGTGTTCAGCGCCTTCGAGTATTTATCTCACACTACACCCTGCTGTTTCAATGCAATGAGGATTTGCTTATTCAGAAACGGAAAAAGCTCAAGAAGTAAGGTTCTGATGGTGCAGTCTAGAGGGTTGATCAAAGGCTTCTGAGAACAGGGTAGAAACAATGTGGGTGTCTGTAACAAGTAACCATATTATAAGTTAAGTGGCTAACTTGCAGTGACAGGAAGTAGAAGAGAGAAGGGGAGGGAAGAGAGGTAGCCAAAATGGCTAGAATATGTAGGCACCTACTACCTGGTGGAAATTAGGAAAATAGGCACGTTCAGTCTAATGCCTATACAGACCCCCCTCTTAACTCATGTTGACTATCACAAAAGTAGCTGTCCCCTAAACTTGCCAGGTTTAAAAATACAGTTTAAAGGCCAGCATGTGGTTTCTTTCATTAATTCAACGGATATTTATTGAGCACCGATTTGTGTGTATCAGGTACTGTTCTATACAGAATATACTGCAATAAAAAATACAAAAATCGTTGCACATGGAGCTTACTTTCTAGACCTAGTCATCCAGCTAATAAGTGCTATGACAAGTGCTATGAATAAAAAGAAAACAAGTAAGGGAGGGGATGGTGGTTGAATAGATTTCATGCTAAGAAGGAACAGGAAGATTAGGGAGAATCGGGGCTTCAGAGAGAATAGAAGCAACCAATAGCAGAGCTCCCTAATGACCTGGATTTCCTTCAACCTCACCACATCTCAATAAGGAACGCTGAGCCTGTGGGTACTTTCAGACAAGAGAAAGGTGCTATCTTCCAAGCCATGGCTCCTCTAATGGAGGACATCTCCCTATACCATCCCTTTCCTACTCAATTCAGCCAATTGATCAGCATCATTACTCTTGCCTAACATCCAGTTTGTACCCTATTATATAAGCGATCGAGTATGTAGAGGGCCCTGGAGAGAGAACTTTACAGCCGAGCTTCATCTGAGAAACATTGTCTCCCCCCCATCTTTCTTGCCATAATCTGCGTGTTCAGAGAGCCAGTTTCCCGCTGTATACTCTGAGAATGATTACTTCCATTCTATTAGGTCATCCATGGCGAAGCTGTACAAAGGGCTCGCTTCCCAGTGTGCCAATGCTGGGCAAGACGCTTCCCCCACTGCAGGCTCTGAGTCTGCCCGCGACAGTGGGATCCACTCAGAAGAGATGCTGCAACCCTACTCTCCTGCTCCAGGTTCTGGCCCTGCTATCACGTAAGCACCTGTTGCTGTGGAGATTAAAGACAAGGCCTTGGGGTCCCAGGTGGTCTGTGCGGGGTAGCTGGCCAACCTGGATTAGGAGTATGACCAACAGAACTCCTCCCTCCCTCCCTCTTGCCCCATCAAGCCTCTGTGACAGGCAAGCAGTTGACCCAATGTTTGTGTCCTAGAGGAAGGCACTAAGAATGCTAAGGGGTGGCCTAGAGCCTTGAGGTTACTCCCAACAACTGGATTGCGGGTAACCATCCTCTATACCAGTGGTTCTCAACCTGTGGGTCGTGACCCCTTTGGCGGTCGAACGACCCTTTCACAGGGGTCGCCTAAGACCATCGGAAAACACATATATAACTACATATTGTTTTTGTGATTAATCACTATGCTTTAATTATGTTCAATTTGTAACAATGAAATTGGGGGTCACCACAACACGAGGAACTGTATTAAAGGGTCGCAGCATTAGGAAGGTTGAGAACCACTGCTCTATACCTACAGCATAAGTCTCTGGGTTTGAACAATAACAGTCTGAAAAGAGTGCCATAAGATGACAGGAAGGCATTTTACAAACCCTCAGAAGGACGGGAACCCACTTGAGGTCTCTAAAACAGAGAATGGAGGGAAAGGGAATCCCAGTCAGGGGTAAGAAAGTCTGGGCCCTGAGGATAAGAAATAGGTCTGAGCCCCCTTTGGCTCAGTGGATAGAGCGTTGGCCTGCGGGCTGAAGGGTCGCGGGTTTGATTCCAGTCAAAGACACATGCCCGGGTTGCAGGCTCGAACCCCAAGAAGTGGCATGCAGAAGGCAGCCAATCAATGATTCTGTCATCACTGATGTTTTTCTCTCTCCCTTCCTCTCTGAAATATATATATAATGTCTGAGGTGATCCAGAAAGAATATTGTTCAGCCTTTCCCAATTCTCCTTGAAGCTTCTCAGAAAGTGACTTCATAAGCCCTTCTTCACTTCTGATAGCTTCTCTAAAAGCTGTTCTGAGCAGTGGATGGACCTGACAGCCTTTCAAGGTCTCTGCATACAACCCTCTAACACACTAAGCTGAATTCTCTTTCTGCAAACTTTCTTGATGATCTTTAATGATTAGACATTTATACATCTGGGACCTATTTTCCTTCTGAAAGAAAAGGATAAAGTCAACTTGGCTACTTTTGGAACCAGGACTTCTGGAAGGAAAAGGGAAACCAAAACTCAAAATTCCAAATCCCCATTTTACCAAATACAGACAATTCTACAGATAATTTCTGCTTGGGGTTTTATTCTTTAAAAATAAAATAATATAAATGATCAGAAAGAATCATTGCTCGTCTGCCTCCCGCATGTTCCCCACTGGGGACCGAGCCCACAACCCGGCCAAGTGCTCTTGACCAGAATCGAACCCAGGACCCTCAGTACGCAGGCCGACGCTCTCTCCACGGAGCAGAACCAGCCAGGGCGAGAGAGAGAAAAGAGTTACCTCGGGGCCCTGACACGCGGTGGGGAGGGTCAGCGCTCCCACGTGGGGAGTGATGCCCATTCTGGGCGCACCAGACATCTCTACACAGTGCCTCCGTGCTCGGGCGGGTGCTTCAGGCGCCCACTTTTCAGCAGGTCATTTCCACGCTCCTGCTTGAAGGGGCCGGGGCTCGTGGGCGCTTGGCTGGTACCACATGGCGGTGCTTGGGCGGGGCAGGGAGCAGAACCCGCAGTTTCGCGCCGTACGCAGCCC